GTTACTCCCTATATTATTTAACAGCAGATTAGTGATTTGATTGAATTTTATAGATTTTACAAAAAATGAAGATGCTGAATCAAACTATATTCTTTGACCATATTTTACTAATTTACATCCGTAAAAGAAAAACACATGTTAGGCTTAATTAATAAAAATCCTCAAAGTCTGTTACTAAACTCATCAGCACCACATAAACAATGTTCTACAGATTCAATGAAACTTAAAATATATTCTTACATTAAGCCGTCGAAGGTGATCTTTGACTAAGTACGTGCTTAAGGCTTAAGCACTCACAATGTTTGTCTTAAGTTCAAATCTCTTCTTAAATAAAATTTTTTATTTTTTGTAAAATTTATTTTAATTTTTGAAATGATAATAATAATAATTTATCTTATAAACTTAATTTGTTCCTCAGTTTTACTTTTCTATTGTAACATAACAGTCCTTCTAAAATATTCCGAAAAGACTTCTGCTTTCTTCTAATTACTTTTTGCCCAATTACTTTCAAGTTTTAATGGCGAGGAGTGTGTCACTAGTCGTCTGAGATGTTTTGTTGCCTTCCAGAGTGAGTAGTGTGTATCCTTTACGCACGATAAATTGCCGGGAAAGCTTTGAGTCAACCTTTTACAGCCTTTATTGAGCAGATACTAACCTCCAGAAGATCTGAACATTTGCCACTTCCGTCTAAGTTTGCATTTATCGGTAACTAATTTATTGATTTCATGGGGATAGTTGCAGCCAGTAGTAACTTGCTTTATAACTGGAGTACTATTCCAACAAGCTTTATGTATATTTTATGTAAATTTTTCTATATCGCTTTCTAGTCGGTGTTCATCTTCTATGGCGATAACATGATTTATCATTAATTGATTCGCAAATTAATGGACGCTTTAAGAAGCTTCCAATCTGTGAATTTATTAGCCAGAAAATACGGATTTTCTTTTTCTACTATAGAACTGCAAATATTTAAAAAGATTGTGGAATGATCCATCCTTAATTTCCATAAAGCTTTTAGAAACTTTTCTTGAAATGAAAAAAAAAAATAGTCAATAAGATCAGGTATCTTACTTCGATCTGTGGGCCAATAAGTAGGTTTTCCCGTCGATATTGTTTCACAACCAGATTGTTCAATAGCTTTTAGAAGTTCCGAACCCTTAGTCGTAATAAGTCTCGAACCCCAAAAAGTATTTTTAGCACTAAAGTCGCCACCAAGAATAAATTTATCTCCAAGAGCCTTTAACCCTTCCATGTATTTTCCTTTGGCTATATTATGCCGCGGAGGACTATATAAAGCCGCTATCGTTCAAGGTTGGTGATCAGGTTGGATTTCAACTGAAACTATTTGGAATTCAGGAGCTGTTAACTGAATTCCTTGGCGATGCTTAATGTTGTTCCGGAGTATAATTGCGCTACCTCCTCGTGCACAATTATCCGGATGTACTGAGTGGTGAGTTGAATAGTTTTTAAAATTTATGTAAGACGATATAGTAAAATGAGTTTCGGCTATGAGGCAAATATCAATATATTTAGCATGGAGCAAAAGTTCAGCTTTGTGTTTTAGAAGGCCGTTAGCATTCCATAACATTATCCTTATAGCTTTAACCATCGTGTGGCTTTTTGGAGAGCATTTCTAGGTTTTTTAAATGCTTTTCAATCAGCTTGTTGAATTCTTCTTGCTTATTTTATTTTTTTTAAGATTTGCATAAGGATTTGCATTTTCTACTTCGGATTAGTGTTTCTAGTTTTAGTTATTTGTACATAGGATTGCATTTTGGCTTCTGTTTTTAGACAGGACTCTGTGAAGTCCATGTCTTTTACACTCTTGGCTGGAATGTCACTTTCATGCGTTCCTCTATTAGTTGGTTGCTTTTGGTTTATTTTAACCGAGCTTGTCTTCCTATCTCGTGACTTTTGCAGCTCTTTAGCTACCACACATCCCCGATAGCTTGCTGGATGATTTTCTCCGCAATTACAGCATTTTGGTTGCATTAATGGTGATTTGTCGCAATCAGATGTAGCATGCTTTCCAGCACACTTTACACATCTAGATTGTTTACCGCAATAGTTTTTTGTGTGTGCAAAACCCAAGCAATTATTGCATTGCTGCAAAATTATCAATTGTTTAACTGGTTCTACAGCCAATATCGTATTTAAGATTTTCGATATTTTATAGATTTTGTTCACGTCTTCAGAACATCAGATCATGGAACAAAACTAAAAACATGTTTAACGGTTCTTTAGTTTTCCATTTAACCGCTGAAATTGCATTTAAGGCCTGCTTTAAAGGTCTACGACTACTGACTCCGAGTCTCACGTATGATGCAAATTTTTTATAATGACTTTAATCGATCTTTGTTGCTTATTTTCATATGAATATCAAGATCTTTTGGTGACTTTGTAGACTCCATTGCTAAGTAGTTTAACAGAGAATTGTTCTTTTACAATTTTACAACAATCTTTGCGTACATCACTCTATAGTTGTCAACATGCGATACCATTATGGGAGGAGGGCGAGGTGTACGTCTGCCTAAAACAGTATCAGCATTACTATCAGATACTTTATTTTGTTTATCATCGCTATCGTTTGCTACACATACTAATAGATGCTAATAGGTGATAATATAGATATAATTTGTTAAATGATAGAAAATTACCTCATCAACTAAAAATTGGAATTTATTGATCTAATTGGAACACAAAAATTTTCGTTAAGTCCTAAGTACACAGCGAATCTCCTTTTATCGAGTACAATACACTGCAATCAATATTTAAACATATTGAAGTTAAAAATACTGGATATTCAAAAAAAATAGATTTATTAATGATAAAAGGAAATTAAAAAATAACTATAAAATACAAGTGAATAACTTTTTGAAAACAAAAAATAAAAAAATAAATATATAGATAAGCAACACACAACAGAAAAGGTGCAAGAGAGAGCAACAGGCAGGAGATAAGAGGCAGCAGGCAGAACATAAGAAAAGGACTTTAACAGAAATTATGATATAAATTAAACTGTACATTGAGTTCTAGTAGAAAATTGAGTACCACGGACGTCACAGTAGGAGAACTGGTCATACCAAGCTATCGCATGGCGCAGTATATGAAATTGTTGGAGTAAAGGACATGTTAGCATATAGTCACACAGGCAGGTCCTGACTGAAAGGTTTTTTCCAATTTATCACTTTTTTAAAAAACTACCTGAATTTTAACGCAGTACCACCACCACTCACTCTTGATGTTAATCTCTTTTTTTGTTATTTTGTAAAGCGTTTCAAACGAGCATAAAAAACTGTATCCAAGCGTATCTATTGGAAACGGTTTATAGATTTGGTATAGATATCGATATTTAACATACACATTTTTTAACAATAAAATACTGAAAAAATGTGTATTCATTTTATTTTTCTGTAGAAAATTTCAATTTTTATTGAAAATAATTTTGGGTTTTACATTTTGTGATTACACGACAGAAACTCATTCCATAGGGAAAAGTGTGATCCGAATAAATGTGATCCGAATTAAAAATAAAGAAAATTTCTAATACTATCTAGATATAAATTTCAAAATTTCAGTGTTCTATTTTATGATTGTTATTTCTATATTAAAGAAGTAAGCACACCAAAAATTTAATATATTTCAAAACGGTTTGGGCCTTCTAATTGCAGAACTAAAAAAAATGGTCTTTACAATGACCATCTTGTTTTAAGTATGGAAACTATTTAAAAATTTGTAGTTGGGATATTTAATTTTACAAAAACAGTCCACGAGTCACAGTGAAATAGAATCGTGCAAAATTACAACTAGAAAGGTCCAGTTATCTAGAGGGTTCCGTTTAAAGATACACTAACTAATTGCCCTTTTTTAATATTCAAATCTATACAATATCTTGCAATAAATCCTACGAAGTTATGGTGACATCAAATCCAACCAGTTACTAGTATAGTTCCCTGGATCTCCTTACAAAAAATACAAATTTTCCATTTTTCTTTAGAATAACAACTTCATCCTTTAAATATATAAAAACATCTTTTCTTGCATAAAGACGAATATTTATTTTGTTTCGGAACCCGAACAATAGAAAACTTTGTACAAAAGCTAATAATTCTAAATTACTATGTTAAAGAGTTTAAGTCTTATGAGAGTATCTGTATACTCGTATTATTATTTCAGAAGATTAAAAAAGAACATTTTCTGTTGTCTCCATCGCATCGATTCTTCTGCAACAATGGAATACTAAAAAACGTTTCAAAATTTCTTAAAAAACAGAAAAAAATGGATTTGATCGTGCGTAGTGCGAGTAAAACATCTGCCCCGCTGCTTTATTATGATATTCACTATTGTGCACGTATTTCTACGCATGTACGAAGGACATTTGCTATGGAATATTATAGTCATGCCTTGAAGGACTAAAAAAAACAAAGATTTATGAATAATGCAGTGTACTCCGTAAAAAGAGAATGATCAGAGACTTCATGCTATGTGTATCTCAAGCTGGTAGATGCGACTGGTGTACTTCTAGTTGTAGATTAATATCCTTGTGCAGTGTGCCTAAAAACAATGTCAAGGTCAACAATGGATGGAACACATATTTTAGTTAAAATACACGCATTTTTACAAAAAAATGAAAAACGAAAAAAATTGTTGATGGTTTTTTAATAGAAAAATCACATTTTATGCAGGATGTGTAAGTCCTGCATACGCATCCTGCTCGTTTGTAGTTATTGTGATATTAAACGCCTATGTGCCAGATGTGATAATGCCATAATAATAATTTTAGTCGTATAGCATGAATAATAATAATACACGTTAATGACATAAGACCATCTTAAAAGTAAGTACCCACGTTTTTTAAGCATATCACGTATAATTACAGATGCTCGTAATCGTATTCGAAATAAAATTTAAAATTATATTTCATGGCTTACTGTGTTTAAATTTATAATAAATGTTTATTTCTTTGAAAGTCAAAAATAGTTAAAATAAATTCAAAATGTACATGTTTTTCCTTTCGGCCACAAAATTTTCGTTCTAAATTTTTTGTTGTTTGCAAAAATTGGGCTCTTATATTTCTTAACGCAATGCCCAAAAAGAAAAAAAAGGAACCGAATCCAATTTTCGCTCCTAAGCGTCTAGAACTAGAAGTTCAAGAAGTCACCGAAAGTAATTTTGCGGCATTGCGTAACTTTAAGCAGGAACTCAATAATTTATTACGTTGGACTGTTTTGATAGCACCAGATAGTCCGCCATATGATGAAGGTGCATTTCTTTTGGAAGTTAATTTCAAGCCAGACTATCCTTTCATGCCACCACGTTTACACTTTGTGACGAAAGTTTATCATCCAAACGTCCAAGAAAATGGTTTGATATGTATGCCTATCTTATTCGTTGAAAACTGGAAACCAACAACGCGCATGACTCAGGTCTTACAGGTGTTAGTCGCACTAATGAACGATCCCATTGCTGAAATGCCCATACGTGCAGACCTGGGTAAAATGTTTTTAATGGATCATGATAAGTATATGAGACTAGCTACAGATTTCACAAAACAAACCGCTCTGCCACGACCACCGTTTAAGAAATATAAGCCGCCCAAAAAATAAAAATAATATATTTTAACATTTTTGGAGAATAACTCAAAATCTTTTGTGAATTATTTTAAAATCCTAAGTAAATTAAATTTTATTTTCAATACAATTGTATAATCAACATAAAAAGTTGGAAGTGAATAAAAAATGTTGAGCAACAATGTGTTTTTGAAAACCTTTACCAGTATTAGCAAAAAAATTATTTACGATTTTAAGAAATTTGGGATATCCCATCCATTACATCCAAAATACCGCTCCATATATTATAATAGGTTTCAAAAAGTTTTTGAATAATCTTGATAAATAACTTGCAGAACCTGATCCTTATTTGTTTACATATACTAATATAATAATATATAGTATAAAACTTCAACATCATTTCCTAATTCTATATGGAACGGAAATCCTGCGTCAGTTCGGGTACTCTTAAAGGGAAGGAAATCGAGTATCGGTAGAGATAAGAGCTAAATGATGCAATATTTTATTTAGAAGTACCTATTAACATATATAATAAAAATGATAGCATAAAAAGACTTCACAAAAGGTAGTGACATCAGTACTATTCGTGACGTAACATACAGATAATGGAGTAAAAGTGCTGGGTGACACTTACTTCACAAAGGGCGTATACAGAACATTTGCAAAATGAATATTATTTAGACAAATGTTTAAGTTGACACAGTTGTTTTATAGTTTATTCAGAAACAATTTCTAAAATAACAACATTGCTAATAAAATATATCGGTATATGCCAAAGGGATACATATTACTTTTTTCTGAGCATATTATAAGCTGAGTATTTGTTTGAGTTGAACTGAACATATGCCAAGCTGCAGTTTTAAATTTTATTTAACTATTGTGGTTACAAAATTTGGTAAATATTTATTTTTCATTGCAATTTTACATCAGATTTTAATCCTTTAGGTTCTAACCAATAAATTCCCAACTTACAATTACGAGATTCACCCTTCGAATTATCAGACATTGAGGATTAGATTTATATTATTACACGACATATATTATCATATGTCGTCTATTGTCATATGTGGAGCAGTTGGTATTAAAATTTATATACCATATATTAACACAATCAATTTATGACTATGTGTCCTCATCTTTCGTCATTCCAACTGGACTTTAATCAAACTGACATTCGATCAATGTGCTTTTCTTTACTCCGAACTCTTTCTTTATGCATACATATATAACACACAAAAAATTCATAGAAATATAAAACGATTAGGAAAAGAATTTAATAAATCTAATGAGGAGTACTAAATCCAGGAATTGTAAAAATAATAAGAAATTAGAATTACAGCTGAACTCTGCTCAACTGGTTTATTTGAGGCTGAATACTTAACTTGACGCAATATGCAATATAGGCATTAAAGGCATCACCTCACAATTAAAGTATTAACTTCGTTACCTTCTTCAAAATATAATCTTTGGTTTAAATTTTATAAATTAGTTAGCGTTTGTCTACCATATTTCATCCAGAATCACAGTGTATCGCACAGTTTATATTATTCCAACTTATTCCAGTTATCAGAACTGAAGGCAGAATTTATATCTAATTGATAGCTGTTTGAGTGTACATATACTCGTATATAGAATTTCTCTGAGGTTCTTGATGATTGCGCACAAACTATGTTATAGAAATCGCTTCATAACATATTTAAAATATATTCCATAAACATTATTAGGTAATGAAATTAAGAATATTAATTAATTAAACTACCTCCCCGCTTTATAAGCTTTATGTCCGTTTAGACTTGCTATCATTACTATCTACCATTACTATCTATTATTAACCAAAAACCAAAATTTTGAATAAATCTAACATATAGTATTTTGGCTATTTCGTTGATCCCTGCAGAAGCATCATCAAAAAGTACAGTTGAAATTGAAAATATTTAGAAACGAAAGAATAAAACATTCAAATATGGTACATATACTTGCAGCACGTGTCCTTTTGTGGTTTCAGGTGTATCCGTAACTATTGTTTTACTTAATTGAAAAATAGACTCCCATCGTGCAGTGCAGTCATACCCATATGCAAATATTTCAATGCCACTAAGATTTTGGACAGCTGCAATTCCACTGCATTTGTAGGAACTACAGTAGAACATTGTAGGAAACAATCGAGGCATGCAACAGGCAATGGACTTTACATAGACCAAATTCTTATCAGCAAAAACAAAAGAAACATTTGTCAAAAAACAAACACCAATGAAATGTATCCCTTATTCGAGAAATAGACGGAAATTGCTGTATTTTGGGACCATTTTTTACACATGTACAACCTGCAATTTATTTCAAGGATAATCTACATTTGAATATGCTTCGCTGCTGCGAGGTGTTCGATGGCTTGTTGCAATGCACCTTTAGGTTCAATATGAGATCAACATGAAAACATAAAGAATTTGCTTTGCGGCTACAAATTTGAGAATAAATTTCACATGAATGCGTGACCTTTCCTAATATTGATGTATTTGCTTAATATTGTGTATTCTGCTAATATTGTATAAATGATACGAGTATTCTTGTCTGACCACCTTTATTTAACTAAATTTACAATGCTGACCTTTTCTTTAAGATATTCGAATTTTATTTCATTTAATCAACAGATGTTTGCACCTCAGATTTTTTATATATCACTCACATCGTGACAGGATTGCTTGGAATTTATGGCACAGGAGGTTTTCTATATAATTCACACTTCTACTTGAGATTTTATTATTTAAATGCTCTGTAACAAACACATTTTGTTTAATGAAACTTGATTTAGAATAGTCTATATGCACGGACTCTAATTAAGAAATTTTAACAGCATTAAAACAGAATTCTAAAATTGAGGTTCCAGGTATAACGCAAAGGATTGTAAAAACGTCTAAGGTTACACATTTATTTATGAGAAATATTTACATACTTCTGAAAAATAAGATCATCTCTTCAGCATTTTCATATATTTAATATAGTGTAAGCAATATAATTTTCAAAGTGTAAGAGCGAATAAGACTTTCCGTTTTTCAAAAAGTGAACCATAGTCGAGGCTCGATCATGTTCTGGGGATGTATTGCATATAATGGGCTGGATGACTTGGTTTCTATCAATATTTGACTATCCTAAGCGATTATGCCTTTACTACCGGAGATAGATTTATTGGAGAATAACTTATCCTGCAACGGGATAATGCCCCATGCCAGCCCTTGTGACAACTATTTTTTTTATGGATATTGAGTGTTACCACTTTGAACTGGCCACCTCAAAGTCCAGATTTACATATTATAGAAAACATCTGGTCTCCTTTGCAACGAAAGAGAACAGTTTCGTTAAGTAAAACCAGAGAGAAGACAATTTCTGAGGTCACATCCTATTGGGAAGAGGTATATTCAGAGATCCTTTAAAATTTAGTGGATTCAGTTCAGAGACGCCTTCAAAAAGTTCTTGAAGCCAAAAGAAATTACACATTTCATTAAGGTTTTCTTCTTTGCTTTACTTTTTTTATTTTAGTATATATACTTGTCAAAATACTTACACCGACATATAAAATTAATAAATAATTTATATATATTGAAGTTTATATAATAAAATATATATTTGCTTATTTTTAAGTTATTATTAGTTATATAAAAAAACAAAAAACAAAAAAGAATTCTTTATAAAGCTATTTCAAAGTTAAAAGTATTTTATATATTGCAAGGAATATAAGTTTAAATTGATTGTAAGCAGAAAGGTATAAGCCGGAAGTAGAGAAATCTTATCGTAAATCTTACGATAGAAAATCGATTTAATCCCGCTAAAAATGAGAAGAAAAAGTATTCATTATTTAAACTGCTTAGATTATTTCCAATTCAGGTTGATTATTTTCGATTACAGAAACCAAATCATTATCCTCTCTTAGTCAAATCGTACTAGGGCACAAACAGAGTATATGTTCTTATATTTCATGTTTTTTAAATTGTTCTCCATAGTGCCTTCAGATGTCTTTGTCAAATAATGTTATTTTAAGTTCATTAACATAATCACTACACACTGATTAGTACACACTACTACAATTGGCTATAATTTCTACAATAAATTGACAAATCTTCGAAATCTTGATCTCATTGCTAGGCAACGATAATTCTAGAGTCTACTTCCAGACTCTGTTATTCTATCTATCATTATTAGATATTTTTGTTAGGTGTTATTAGGTGTCTAAGTTCTTTATTGGTCTGCTCGCATATAATAACAACTGATAAAAAATAGCGAATATGGAAATCAACAAATAATATTGCTTGGAATATTTTTATTGTAAAATTATTTTATATTCCACAATATGTGATAATATATGACGCCGATTAAGGCTCCGTTAAGAGAGATAACTCAACAGAAAAATAGAATGTGATTTTACAACATTGAGGTACTCAGACCTGCATGTAGTGCCAATTAGTGAATGGTGAGTTTATAGACTGATGGTTAAAGGTCGTCTCTAACCTGAACGCAAAAACCTACCTAGTGACAGTATGGCTCCCAAAAAGACACTGGCGCTTTTTATCTGTTGGGTCGCGCTTAGTTTCCGTGCTCCCTCTCGACCTTACTAGCATGGGTAGCCCAACTGGTAGCTACGCTACCACTGGCATTGCTCTTGGGTTCCTGACACGTTCTGAGCCCCTGCACCACGACAAGGTGGCAGTAAGTAAATAAGTAAATTTGCAGAGATAACAAAATCTACAGATAAATAATTTGTTTTATACTATTACCATTTATCCTCAAAAAAAAGTATTGATTTCTTCTATTCACTTCATTCAACATATTGACGATTAGATGGCTATATGGTTATATAGAAATTAAAAAGATTTGATTGGACATTGCAACAGATAGTTATTCTGCGTATATGTTTTCTTGCGTCTCAGAATTCAATATAAATAGTAATTTCGCACTTGACTATAATGTAGGCAAGACTTTTTGAAATCCGTATTCACCTTCATCTGTACCTACTACAGTAATTTGGATATTAGTGTATCAATGGCTTAAGATGACTTAGCAAACCGGAGTCAAAAGTATTCTCTAATATAACAGATTAGGAAAT